TTGTATGATACTGAAATTATGGGTACTTGCTTTTCCTGTAGCTCCTCTGCTAGTTTGAGTGCACAAGATTAAGTATCTGATTTTGTCCCTTGTGTTTCCAGTAGTCAGGTTCTCCTTTGTCTGGTCTCCCTATTTATACCCCTGTATTGCAATCCTGTAGACACTGCAGGTCCCCTTCATCAAACAGTCTTACAATTTCATAAAATTCTCTTGTTTTCATACTTAAACACCAGAGTAAGCATTGATGAATTATATTCCAGAAGGTTCCTTTTTTATTGATAACTGAACATCCTGTTCTGTTTTGCTTAGTTCCTAACTCCTAGTGATAGTTTAGGTAGGTGCAATTCTAATTGAATATTTGAACTTAAAATGCCTTTATCACAGTCTGTATGTTAGTCTGGAAAAAGTGAAAGATTATTGTGGCTTATTTTAAGAAAGATCCTCTAAATGGCTTAACATAGGAATGCTGATGTATTATGAAGAAATAGCTGCACAGAATTGGGTCGCCAAATGCCTTGACTAAGAAATCACTACTAAGTAAAATGCTTGTATATGTCTGATAGCCATCTGAAAGTTAGAATGTGGGGAAAAAAGCAAGAGAGCTAAGCTGGGCGCCAGTGGCTTATTCCTGTAATCCTAGCTACTCAGGAGGCTGAGATCTGAGGATTGTGGTTCAAAGCCAACCAGGGCAGGAAAGTCCCGGGAGACTCTTATCTCCAAAAAACCATTAGAAAACCGGAAGTGGCGTGCTGTGGCTTAAGTGGTAGAGTGCTAGCCTTGAGCTGAAGAGCTGAGGGATAGTGCCCAAGCCCAGAGTTCAAGCCCCACAACCGACAGGAAAAGAAAAAAAAAAGCAAGAGAGCTTAGACCTTCCTTCCTGAGGGATGGAAGGAGACCAGCTCTGGGAAAAATGGAAGGAAAAGTATGGACCCACACACCAGGTTCATCTTTCCCCAGAAATCTGAGTGGATGCAGAGTCAGACCATTTCTCTCTTCCCAGACCCCTTCTCCAATTCATTCCATCAGTTTTGGAAACGGGGAGGCATATCTTTGGGGGAGAGGGAAGAAGGAGAAAAATAAGTGCAATGATTTTGACTTAAAATCTTGACCTGGACTGTGGCACTCAGCTGCAGTCTCAGCTACTTGAGAGGCAAGAGGTAGAATTGTTATCAGAGGTGACCCAGGCAAAACCCAAGACCTTATCTGAAAAACACTAAAAGCAAAGAGCTTAGGCTCTGCTCAAGTATTACAGTGTCCAAAAAGTACAAGTCTTGAGTTCAATCTCCAATACCACTTCAAAAAAAAAAAGGAAGGAGAAAGGATCAAATCTTTGAAAGTTAGTTACTTGTAGATTTCTCTCACGTGTAATAATAGCACTTAGTGCTCAACATAGAGTATATGTCAAAGACCTTCTGAACACCTTTTGTGACTTAGTGGCTGCTGGTCCTCAGCTTTCAGCTTCTTGCATGTCAGTCTCACTGCCCTAAGTGGTCTAAAGACTTAAAGAGAAACTTGTCTGAAGAGGAAAGAAGGATGGCCAAAAGACACATGAAGAAATGCTCAACCTATAATATAATATAATCAAGAACTCTAATAACAACAGATGCTGGAGGGGATGTGGACAGAAGGGAACCTTACTGCGTTGTTGGTGGGAGTGTAAACTTGTTCAACCACTTTGGAAAGCAGTATGGAGGTTCCTCAAAAGACTCCACATAGAGCTCCCCTATGACCCAGCAATCCCACTTTTGGGCATTTACCCAAATGATCACAAACAAGACCATACTAAAGCTACCAGCACAACTATGCTTATTGCAGCATTATTTACCATAGCTAAGATATAGAACCAACCCAGATGTCCCTCAGTTGATGAATGGATCAAGAAAATGTGGTATATATACACAATGGAATTCTATGCCTCCATCAGAAAGAATGACATTGCCCCATTTGTTAGGAAATGGAAAGACTTGGAAAAATTATATTAAGTGAAGTAAGCCAGGCCAAAGAAACATAGGTCCCATGGTTTCCCTTATTTGCAATAACTAGTATATGTCTGAGACAAGCAGAAAAGGTCAGATAAGTTGATGTTAGGTGAAATGAATCCCAAGATAAGTATTCAAATGTTTTTCTTTCTTTCTTGCGATTGTTTCTAACATATTTATAAGATGATTTCTTTGTTGCTTTGTATGTCCCTCCCCCACAGTATAACCCTGCTGTCATTGTATTTGATGTCGGTATAATTTGTGGAGGAGAAGTGGAAAAACAAATCGTTTAAATAGGGATACAGGTGGACCCATTGCAACAATGAGATGTACAAGTCATTATGTGGAAAACGAACTTCACAACTTTGGTGGGGGCGGCGGGGAGGATTGAGTGAGGGGGGGGATGGGAAGAGATGGGAAGGGGAAACAAAGGAGGAGGCTACAATGCTTGATAAGAAATGTACTCATTATCTTGCCCATGTAATTGTAACCCCTCTGTACAGTATTTTCACAATTAAAAAAAAAAAAGAACGTTAAAGCCTCATTAAAGGCTTGTATGAGATGAGTACTCTTACAGAGACTCCCAAAATTCAATGCATCTCATGTAAAGAGTCATTCATTATCAACAAGGGACCCAGACATTCAGAAAAGATGGCAAAGGTTCACTTGTCTAAGCACCTTTGCATGGTTGTTTTCTTTGTAATGCATTTCATCACCTGGGACATTATAAAGCTTTTTGTTAGTTTTGGTCTGTGTTGCTATCACTACCTACCTACTGCATTTTCAGAATTTTTATAGTTGTTTAGGCCAGGTTTTTGTTGTTTTGCCCCATGTATGTTCTGTGACATTAGGTGTAGAAGTGGGAGGGAAGATTTGTTAATAAGTATAGGAAGTACTGCTTTATGTATGTTTTAATAAGCTTTAATATGTAGATGAGCCTAAAGAGATTGTATGTTTATGTGGGGGGGCACTTTAACTTACATAACTTTCAGAGGAAACATACCACATCAAAGAGCATTCTGAAGAATTCATATAGACTTTAAAAATCAAAGAATTTGGAAAATGATGTGCCTTACAGTAGCAATGTGGTATGGAGTGAATCCATATGTACCTTTTTTTCTGTCTTTGGTAGTGAGCATGGTTGGCCCCTGGAAGCACTTAGTGTTCATTCTTTAGAACATAGTGTGGGATGTGTCACAGAGGCCAGGATCCTAATGAATTATTCAGTTGAGGGTTTTGTCTAGAAAGAATTTAAATTTTTTTCTTCATTAATTTGTATATGTGGGGATTGGGAGTGGTTTGAGTATCAAATCAAGGACCTGGTACATGCAAGACATAGGAATTTTTTCCCCTTACTTTAGTCCTCCTTATCTTCATCATGTATTTTCTTCTTCTTTCTTTTTTTTTTTCCTCCCTGGTCCAAGACCAGGACTCCGACTGGGGACCTGTGGCCACTTTCACTCATTGGCTAGCACTCTACCAACTGAGCTATGCCTCTAACCCCTTATTCTAAATGCTGTTGCAGGAAGTATCTTAACATTTCTTCTCCAGATGTATGGAATGCAATAATTACTACTGGAACAAAACAACACAAAGCATGTTTTGTTCACATTTTATTGGTTGTATCAAGTAGAGCACTTGTTAGACTTAGAAAATACTGCTTTGAACCATTAACTACAAAGATACTACCAATTAATTGGTTTTTGTTGTATAAAAATCTAGAGTCTGGTTGCATAGCTCAGTGATAGAATGCTTTCCTAGCATATTCAACAAGGACCCAAGTGCTCACTTCCCTTATGCCTGAAAAAAAAATGTCTGAAACTTCCAAATTTTAAAAGTATATAAGTACTTCTCTAAAGTTCTCTCACATTTCTTTTGTTTTGTGAGATTAGTTGTATTTCTAACTCAGTGACATCTAGAGTGTAAACACTGTTTACATGATGATGTTAAGTCAGATTGGTTTGGAAAAGTAGTTCGCTTTTCTAGAATCTCTTGTCTCTGAGAAGGAAATGTAATACCTATTTCCATACTTTTGGACCAAGGCATCCCTTTGTGTGTGTGTGGGGGGGGGGGTCTATTCTATCTTTGCAGGCACTTCCCAGTAATCCCTTCTCATCTTGTTTGAGAAAAACACGAAGGCCTAAGCAATGTGTGCAAGGCTAATATGCTCCCTCTTCTCCCTCCCATTCAACTGGCTCTGCTCTGCTACAGGAAAGTGCTAGTTCTCGGTTTTTCTCATGATCCTGGTTCTTCAAGATTAAATTGTGATTTCTAGTAATAACATTACACGATTTCAGTAAAGCAACTTATGAAAGTTCTGTTAATTTTGAGATTTCATTCTACATGATAAATGTTGGATTTCTCCTTGCATTGAGCCTTGTGTAGGCCAGCCTTCACTGTGTAAGTCCAGTTCTAGCACAGGTGCTGCCCAAGCAAGCACTATGTACAGAATTTTGTTTTAGAAGTTGAAGCATCATTTGTGAAGTCAAAGTCCTCAGATTTCTGTTTTAAGTTAGTTGGGGTTTTTTTTGTGGTGGTACTCAGGTTTGAACTCAGGGTTCTTGATTGCTACGTTGGCACCCTACCACTTGAGCCATGTCTTTTGGGATTTTAACATTCTTCACTTTTTGTTACTATTTTTTGTTTGTTGTTTTTGTAAGATAACTAGCTCATATTTTACTAAGATATTAACCATATTTTCACCTAGAAATATAGATGATGGTTTTCAGAGTAGGTTACCTGATGAGTAGAAAGCCTTTCTTGAGAAGTTAATGAAATGTTATGTGAAATGAAGAATACTAATGGCATTTTTTTTCTTAGATTCCAGTGCAACCGTGAAGACTGGCACTGCTCCCATCTACCGTCAACCAGTGCAGGGATAAAAGTCTTAGCATCTCCACTTGTATATGTATATGGGTGTGCTTTATGTTAACTAAACACAAGCCTCAGGCATGGCTGAGTGCAGATGAGTGGCTTTGTCTTTCGTCTGTCCCTATATAGTGATCTGGGGGCCAGAGGTACCTGTACTCCCAACTCCTGAAGAGGCTGTGATGGAAAAATTCCTGGAGTCCTGGACTGTGAGGTCAGCCTGGGCACATCTCACAGAAACAAAACAGTAACCCTCTAAAAGCTGTCATTTGTATGCTGGCAGGTAAAAACAAGTGCAGAAGCTGGGCGCCAGTGGCTCACGTCTATAATCCTAGCTACTCTGGAGGCCAACATCTGAGGATCACAATGGAAGCCAGCCTGGGCAGGAAAGCCCATGAGAGTCTTATCTCCAATAAACTACTCATAAAAAGCTGGAAGTGGCTGTGGCTCAGAGTGGAAGAGTGCTAGCCTTGAACAAAAAGATGCTCAGGGACAGCGCCCAGACCCAGAGTTAAAGCCCCAGGACCAGCAAAACAAAAAACCAGAAAGGTGCATCTAGAGAAGGAGCAGTTTAATTAAAAATCTTAAGCAAGTATAAAATGCTGGACGTACCTGTTCTGAAACCATCTTCTGAAGGGAAGTTAATGTTACAGGGTTTACTAGATTTTCTCCTTTGTAATACATACAGCCAGATTGTTTCTGGGAAGCAAGGTTTTTTTAAAAGCTTCTCCTCAGAAGTACATTTCCTCTTATTGCAGGTTATTGCCAATGGTTTGCTTTCATAATCTCAAAAGACATAACAGCAATAATTGATTCAGAGATTGTATTTAACCTAGTTATCCTGTATTGATTTAAAGCCATGTTTACATGTACATTTGTGTGTACATATTTCACAAATTGTATAGCCATATCTTTATGCCCTTTCCCCAGTGTTATAATTTCTGAAGATACTAGTTTCTAACTATTAGCTGTTTCAGTACCTGGAAAGGAAATCAAGAGGGTTTTTGGCAAATACAGGGAGACCATGTTGGGGGCAGGTACAGATCCAAATGGTGGAACCCCAGGTTCAGGAGATGACAGCAAGCTCATTGTGAGCCTTGAAGCATTGAGGGAGTGTACTTCTCATTTCCTTCCCAAGGGTAGATAGACACAGTAGTAAATTACTGTCAAATGCAAACTATAGAAGCTCCAATCTAAAGGAGTGGTGGGCATGTGTATTTTTTAAGCCAGTTGGTACTGAAATGGGGAATGTGTTTGAACCTTAGAATAACTAGAGAAAGCTGCTAATTAGCATTTTAATATTGACCTTAGTGGAAAGACAAGAAATGGAAATGGGTTTTGTTGAAAACCTTGATAGTGTTCACTTCATGAGGCACTAGCTTTTTAAATCTTACTGAGCAGTTAAGATTTTCCAGACCGACCACCAACCAATTACAAGACAAACTGGTCATATGCACGCACATGGGACACTTGGAGATTCATTGTATAGAATTGAGTTAATTGGTAGTCACAGCATTTGTGTGTCCTGTACTGAAGCAGGTCTCCCTAGAGGAGGGAGATAGAGGAAGACTTGCTAATTGCATGGGGTCGTGATCCTCTGTCTACCCCTTATATTGTGTGGGTGGTGCACATCTGTGTTCTCCAAGGTCTAACAATGTTCCCTGGACGCCTACTTCCCGATTGTCTTGAAAGTCCAGGACCCATTTCTGTTTATGTATTTGTGTTAGCCTGGGTTCTGACACAAGACTGAAAAGCTTATATCGTTGAGTGCAGCAGCAACAGCAACAGCAGCTCATTTTACCTATCTCTAGTAAGACAAGATAGGTAGCAAACACTTTGGGCTGACCTTGTATTGAAAGCATGTTATTCACAAAAGTACGTATTTCATGGTTGAATGAAAGATTGTTTTATATATATATATATATATATATATATATATATAGAATATATATATATATATATATTTAAAGATAGAAGGAAATTTCAAAGAAAATGGGAATTTATCAGTCAGCTGCTTAAGCTGGACCCCAGGCCTGTTGGAGAACAAAGACATCTTGCCTTCTACAAATAGGAATGGTTTGGCAGGAATTTGGAGAAACAACTGCCTCAGTGTCTTCATTACTACAGATACTGTGGATTTTTTTAGGCAATGTTAATTTACTTCTTTTTGACCTAAAAACACAGCATTTTTTGTTCCTATTACAAATAATGAAGTATAGACACTGACATTGAGTTTCAAAAATCTGCCCAGGCTTACACTACTAGAGAGTTAATAGAGCTGCAAATACCTGTATTTATAAGCCCTTGGAAATAATCTTTTCCCAGTATAATATTAGTCAGTGCCCTATGGAGTCATTGTTGTAATAAGACGTGCATTCTGTAGAACAAGCCAGGGCATTCACAGGCATAACTGAAAAAGATGCACTGAATAGGTCAGGTTGACCCTCCCTAACCCAGAAACCTGAAACCTGAAATAAATGCTCTTTAGATCTAAAGTTGAGGGCTGTCACAAGTAGAAAATTCCACACATGTGATGTGAGTTGTCATAGCACACAGGTGCCTTCAGTCCATGTGTATAAACTGTATGTAGACCATAAACCAGTTTCCTGTTTAGATCTGCAGAGCTTCTTCCTGTGTAACTGGTGTACTTTGCCTAACATCCCTCCTCACTTAATTTTTAAGAATTGCTTTAAACTAAGTGAACAGAATTAAAACTCACATTACAGAAGGAAGCAAAGGGTGCCTTCTAGATGAAGAGTCCTTGCTTGTTTTGGAATCTGTATAGGTCTCTGGTATATTTACTCAGTGCCAGGTGGTGGTAATCTGAGTTTGGGTCATCTTGATGAAGTTGCCAAAGGGAATTTTAGGGGCAGTTGGAAGCATGAGCACTTAGGTAGCATGTGGCCTGTGCCACATTCACATTCAGGGTTGTATAAATTCAAGTGTGAAAAATGTACAGAAGTTTTTCTCCTGCTTTTGTGGGAGGAGGAGTGTAGGTAATGGGGTCTTGAACTCTAGGTTGGCTTTCTCACTTATGGCTGGTACACTACCACTTGAGCCATGCCTCCAGTTTTTTTTCCAGTCTTGGGGCTTGAACTGGGGACCTGGGCACTGTCCCTGAGTTTCTTTTGCTCAAGGCTAGCACTTTACCACTTGAGCCATAGCACCACTTCTGGCTTTTTCTGTTCATGTGGTACTGAGGAATCAAACCCACAGCTTCATGCATGCTAGGCAAGCATTCTACCACTAAGCTACATTCCCAGCCCCTCCAGTTTTGTCTTTTGGTCTTTTTGGTTTTGTTTTGTTTTATAAGATATGTGGTTTGTTTTGCAAGTTGACATAGTTGCCATATCTTCTTTGCAAGTTTATAATAGTTATAGTCCCTATTCTAGCTTTTAAGTTCTTGTAAATGGGTAATAGTTATTCTAGTTTTAGAGCTTCAGAAGAAAACTCAGTTGTCATCTATACTAACATGTGTAATGATGAGTGAGGGTAATAGTCATCACACCCAACTGCTGTGACACCAGCTGTCAGGAAAGCATTCATCTCACCATTATATTCCATTTCCATTGGGCTACAATTGGTTTAATTGCTTTTTTTATTCATTCACTCATTCATCCATCCATCTATCCATCTCCCCACTTCTCTCTCTTGCTGGTGCTGAGTTTGAGCTTAGGGCCTTTTACACTTTGGTCTACTGCCATGTGTAGTCTCATTCTCTAAGGTCAGCAGACTGTTGGCACTTGGCAGTCAATGACTTTTTCGTATGTGACCTTTGATACTATTGAACTGGAAGCTACATTAGCTTTTCTGTTACTAACTGTGGCTCTCCCACTCATGCTCTGTCTCATAGAAGCATTCGCTCCCCCATTTTTTGGAGGAGGGACTGAAGAAGCTCATTGTCCCTATGTCCTGTAATAGAAAATCCAGTTTTTATCTCTGTTCTTTCTTAACACTTTGAATGTTTTATCCAAGCTGATCCATAATTTTGCCATTTTGACTAGTGAATAAATTTACTTCTTCAGGTGTGATTTTTTTTCAGCTATTGTTTTATATTTTTAAAATTCCTATTTGGGCATTTTTATCTTGATATCGTTTTAAAATTATATTCAGCCTATCTAAAATTAAACTTTGATCTCCCCTCTAGTTTCAGGCTTTTTACAGGATGTTGCTGCTTCTCTTCATAATCCCCACTTTTTCCTATAAGGTTGTTTTGGTTTTTCATTCTTTCTTTTTTTTTTTTTTTTCAAACTCCTTTTTTTCCCCTGGGATTTGGCCAGCATAGGAATTTTGTTTTGGGTCCGGTCATGGGGCTTGAACTCTGGGCCTGGGCGCTGTCCCTCAGCTCTTCAGCTCAAGGCTAGCGCTCTACCACTTGAGCCACAGCACCACTTCGGCTTTTTTCTTTTCGCTTATGTGGTTCTGAGGAGTCGAACCCAGGGCCTCATGCATTCAAGGCAAGCGCTCTACCACTGAGCCACCTTCCCAGCCCCAGCATAGGAATTTTTAAATTGAGTATTCAGTTGACAGAAAGACCTTGATACAGATTTATAACTATCTGAATGGTTGTCTAGTCTACCTAGAACTTTTAATGGGGTCTTATACTTGTGAGTTTATATTTACAATTAAATGTTATTGCCACATGATTATCTAAAGCAAGGAGTACAGGTGGTTTTAGATCAGGAGTGAGGAATGGCCAAGCCTCAGGCTGTGTAAGACTTTCATTTGGTATGAGACAGGACAGACATATGTTTTTCATGTGCTTCTTGTTGATCTTCTGTCGTATTAATTTATCTTTTGTGGTTGGTCAAAGGGATTGAACTCAGGGCCTGTCCCTGAGCTCTTTTGCTCAAGGCTTGCACTCTACCACTTTGAGCCACAGCTCTACTTCTGGTTTTTGGGTGGTTAGAGGTAAGAGTCTCCTAGGAAATTCTCTGCCTGAGCTAACTTCAGAGATCCTCAGATCTCAGCCTCCCAAGTAGCTAGGATTACAGGCGACAGCCCCTGGCACCTAGCTTGCTTTTTTTTTTTTAAATCATAAAAGATGTTATAGTGTTATATAACTGTGACACTTCTGTACTCTACCTTTATAATAACAAAAAAAATTTAAAAATACCAAAGCACAGCAAACCTATGTACCTCCTAAGTTAATATATTTACTTCCTGTTAAAGAGCTAATGGATGAGTCCTATGATTACTATACTTCGGAAATAAGCTTGAATGATGGCTGTCATGAGACATTGAAAACTTCTTTTTTTTTCCTGACAGAACAAAACTATCGTG